GCCAGACAGACAGAGATAGACATAGAGACAGAAAGCGAAAAAACACCCCCCAGGGGGGATGGTCACGCAGCAATCCCTTCTCCTCCATTCTCCTCTCGGGATCTTGGGCACGCACGCACACGTGCCCGGCGTGAGTTCTAAGCCACCTGGTCTAGGACACGAACCGTGGTCGACCACGTGGGAATCCAGAGACATAGCCATTACACTAACTGCTGGTTCCCTAAATATCACCTTTTTATAAATCTTAAAATTCATATCTGAGAGTATTTTTTGGTTATAAAAATATTTGAGGTACCTGAAGATTTCAGAAGCTCAAGAAATAGTAGTCAAAGTTCTGGAAAAGCTTAGAGTACAGACATTTCACACTGGCACGGAGTTTCTTCAACATCTCACAATGAAAAATAAAACTGTCCAAAGTAAACACAGCTACTCTAAAGCTGTGCCCGTGAAACAGTGAAATGGCGCATGTAGGCCTGCTTCCAAACGCGTCAGCCAAGAAAGGCTCTTTGACAAAAAGAGATGGTTTGAGGCATAAAACAATCCATAGTTCAGTTCACCAGTATTTCCCAGGCTGTTTTGTACGGACCAAAACAAACACCATCTAGCCTTGCTCTTCAAGAGCTCAGAGGTTGGTAGAAAAACCATACGATCATCGTGACTTCTTTTGACCTTGTTAGAATAGAGTCAAAAGTCAAGGACAAACTGTTTTGATTTGAGGAAAAAAGAGATAAAGAGAGAGAAAGAAAGAGAGAGAAGTAACTCCAAAACAGAGTCCTAAGCTCCACGGGAAGTTCTTGTTTGGAGGTTTAATACAGAGCCGGTGTAAACACCTGACTGAAAACACTTAGAGGCTCTTTCTCCTCTGAAGTCCTTCCATGTGTGTCTACAGAGCCTAAACACCAAAGTGTATTTACTCCACCAGGGAGCTGGAAGAAATAGCTATTCCTCTAGAAAGAATCACACACAATCTTCTGTAGCGGCGACGATAACAGTACTATAGAGGAAAAAATTCTATAATATCAGCTACTCTTTGGGGAGAGGTTCCCTTTGTGCCAGGCATGGTGCTGGTGTCTAAGCTGTAATATCTAATTCATTGCTTATACCAGTCCCATGAGGATGGGCCTTATTTTCATTTTACTGATGAAAGACAGAGGTTCAAAGAGGTGAAATAACTTGTTTAAGGTCTCAGCATGACAAGAAGCCGAGCTGGGATCCAAATCTAGAGGACTGTCTGACTTCTAAATCCATATGCTTTCCAGAGGACCAAAGTGAAGGAAACTCCAAACACGTTAAGTTCCATTTTGTGTTTTGTGCTGATGATTGGAAATTCAACCAAAGAAGGATGAGAAGAACAAGATAAATGGCTGCAATGAATTCTGGGATGTGTTCTTTGCTCTCCTCTGCAAATCATGCCTTTTAAACGCTTTTCACAGAAAGTTGGATTCTTTAGAAGGTCTTCTTAGACTCCCAGCTGCTCCAACTTCACTCTATATCTAGAATTTGATTCAAGAGGGGAAGATGGACTCTGTAACAGGAAGTGTAATGGAACCACGCAACTGTGTTAATGAGGCAGGGAAGATGTTATGTAATGAGATATATATTTCAGAAGGTTCAGTCTGATGACCATGAGGAGGATGGAGCCAGTCAGAGGATTTTAAGCCTCATGTTCAGGGAGGCCATCTAGAAATCAACTGTGGTTAAGTGAAGGAAGAAGTTAATGAAGTTGTGAACCATAGCAAACTGGAGTAGTTTGGTAAGAAAGGGACAGAGGAATGAGAGAGGTCACAGATGTAGCACTGACAGACTTGAAGACCAGCTGGATGTAGGAGGGATGAGGGAATTCTAGTTTTTTGACTAGGGTGATCAGGTCAAGGCTGGCTGGGGAGAGAGAAGAAGCAGGTTTTGGAAGAAAGATGGGAGTTAAGTTCTGAGGTGGTTGTGAGCACTCTAGATAGAAATGTCCCAATGGCAGTTGGGACAGATTTGTTCATTCTTTCATCCTATAAATATCTGTTGAGTTCTCTCTCTGCACCAGATGTTAAACTTAGCACTAGCTGTGAAGTGATGGCCTAAACAGATGAGTTCTCTGCCCTCACTAAGCTTATAGGCTCCTATGGTTTGAACGTGTTCTCTCTAAATTCATGTGCTGAAACTTGGTAATTATTGTGATGATATTAAGAGGGCAGAAATTTAATCCAATTATGACATTAAGAGGTGGAATCTGTAAGAGTTAATTAGGATTAGACAAGGTCATAAGGGGGGTCATCCCCATGATTGAATCCTGGTGGCTTTATAAGGTGACGGAAAGAGTCAGAAGTTGACATACGCTCTTGTCCTCTTGCCATGTGATGCCCTGTGTCATCTCAGGACTCTGCTGAGTCTCTACCAACATAAAGGTCCCCATTAGATGCAACCCCTTGATCATGGACTCCCAGAACTGTGAGCTGAACAAAACTTTGTTCTTTATAAATTACCCAGTCTGTGGTATTCAGTTATAGCAACAGAGAAATGGGCAAAACAGAGGAAGTACAGAAGTATACATACAATTACAAACTATGGTTGTGTCAGACAAAAAAGAATAAGGTGCTATGAGAAGCAGCAGCAGCCTGAGTGTGAGGTTGGAAGGTCAAGTGGGATGAGAAGGTTCTGGAGCTCAGAGGAGGCAGTGTCTGTCTGGAGATGAAGAGGGCAGCGGTCATCTGTGTAGAAGTGGGAGTTGGTGATCACGTCGGGGAGGTGAGTCAGAGGAATTGAACTGTACTACTGTGCAGGCTGTCAGGGTGGCAGCCAAGGAGCTGGGCATCTCAGAGGCTGAAGTCAATGGTTTCCACTCTCTCAACTCTCAGGATTCACACTCAGAGAGGGCAAAGTGTTGGTGACCCTGACTGAGATTGTTTTTTTTGCTCACCCAGAGATATATTATCAGCTCTCTGCTTTGCGCATGGTTGCACATGAAAATATGTACAAGGCACCCCCTGATGTGGCCTGGATAGTGGGAGACCTGAGTAATCCCTGGTTAAGTTAACTCCAGACTAGTTGAAATACAGATGCTAACTTGGAATTCTTTAAAAAAAGAAGCGACTTCTGTCTAGCTCATGTTCTACCCTCTTAACTGAAAGACAGGAGACACGATTTTATAAGGGAACCCAGTTAAGTCCAATTCACCTTAGGAGAGACCGAACATCCAGCTTTTCAAAACCACCTGGAACCAAGTAACAGAAGGAGACACTGTACTGAGCTCAAGTTGGAAGCTGATCAGCTACGTGCAGATAATATCTACAGCAATAACGAAAGCTAACATGTACGAGTACCTACTATGTGCTGCTGTGCAGGGTCCAGTCCATTTAATTTTCCAACAGCCCTTCGAAGGATTTACTCTTTATATCTCTATTTTGCAGATGAAAAAAACTGAGGCCCAGGGAGGTTAAGGCACTTTTCCAAGACCACTTAGCATTTTTTTTTCCTTCCTGTCATAGGGTGTGTGCATTCGCCAGAGAAAGACAAAGAGAAGGAAAGTAAGAAATCCCTCCCCCCGCCCCACCCCCGGGGATATGGTCAGGCTGCAATCCCTTTCCTTTCATTCTCCTCATGGGATTTTGGGCATACATGCATATGCTCCTGGCATGAGTTTCAAGTTATCCAGTCCAGGACTCGAATTGCAGTCGACCATGTGGGAGATCTTAACTGCCAGGCCACCTGCTGGCCCCAGCCACCTGGCTGTTAATTAGAAGGGTCTGGATTTGAATTCAGGAAGTCTAGATCACAGAGCCTGTGCTTCCTCTTTAAATACAGAGTTGTACTATGTCATGATCCTTCTGCTTCAGCCTCCCAAGTAGCTGGTACTACAGACATGCACTGCTGCTCCTGGCTTTTTAGGGTGGACCAGGAATTGAACTCAAGCCTCCCATGTGGCCTTAGCCTGTTGAGGAACCTTGTTAACTGGCACATGGTGCCATGGCTCGGCCAGAGCCTGCTCATTTAATCACTCTCTTTGATAAACAAGGATCATTCCTATAGTTCTTAGAATAAACACTGTATTCTGGAGAAGGGAGCCTGATCCATGAGCCGCTGTGGAGAGATGCGCTGTGAACCTGCTGCTAAAGGCAGAGGAGGGGCAGACAGGTCATCTCCTGCAACCTGTTCTAATGGTTGATTCTGACCCCCACTTCTGATAGGGTGATGGTGACCTCAGAGGATTCTGAGATGATCCATACAGAATGGAACTTCAGCTCTGTCCAGCCCTCCAGCTTTCAGAGAGGAGGCCTGAAGAAGTGGAGGGACAGCTGGGGACAGCAGAAGCCAGGCCCTCTCCCAGACTCTCCTTCCCTCTCAGACGGAACAGCCATGCCATCTCCCCAGGGCAGCCCACTGTCCTGCCCATGTAAGGCTCACCACTGGCTGAGCAGGTGCTTTAGGGGGAGCCTGAATGAAAGGGAGGGCAGCCAGGATGAAAGGGAGATGGGAATAACTCCCACCCAAGGAGGTGGCAACCCCCTGAGCTGCCTTCAGAAGGAAGCCATCCTGCATCACAGTGGACCTCACCCTCTGGAACTGACAGAACTACTCATCTGACCTGAGTTATTAAATTTATTTTTAAATGAGAGAGAGAGAGGGAGGAGAAGAGAAAGCGAGAGAGAGAGAGACAGAGAGAGACGGACAGAGACAGCACCCCCAACAGGATCTTGATGCTTTGTTCCACTCCCAGACGACAGCCAGCCCTGAATCAGGGGTATATGCTGGGCATACTGAGGGAGGTCTCCAGACTTGAACCAAGAACCTTCCAAGGTGAGACTGCCTTGAAGAGCATTGCATCTTACTACCACACCACACGACTGAATGACTCTCGCAGGTGTTTTTTTGACACGGTCTTGCCATCATGACCCTCTACTCCAGACCCCAGCTAGCTAGGATTACAGGTTTATGCTACCTTGCCAGTCTGATCAGATTGGACCAGGACCTGCCCAGGTCAGTTTCTGCAACTTGTTCTAATGGTTGTTTCTGAACCCGGGGCCTCTCATGTGGCCCCAGCCTTACACAGTGGGGCCCGACTGCTGTGCCACTGCAATTGGCCTGACCTGGGCTATTTTTATCCTGGACTGAACCAGCTCCATCTATGCAACCTCGTTCAAAGACTACATGGGATCCTAAGTCACTCCCAATCCCCAAGACACAAAGTTCCCATCCAGACTCCTTTAGCAAGTTCCTGGGAACAGGGCAGTCCTTATCCCCAGCATCCATCTGTGCCCTAATCCCTATAGCACCCTGGAGGCAGTGTGCACCCACCACAAGGCTGCACTGTACAGAAAGAAGCTCTTTTCTGATCATCCAAGAGTAGGTGGGTCTTACCTTTCCACTTGGAGGTTGACTTTGGAAGGCTCCACGTTGGGGTTCTCCCATTCCATTTGAGGGCAGTGCATGAAATAACAAAGGGTGTACAGGGCCTCAGGCTCCCAGTAGAGCGCCCCCTGCTTGTGGTGCAGGGGAGTGCCATTGCCGTGGTGCTTGGCATTGAGGGGCTGCAGGTGATGCATTGCGCGGGACACCAGGTCACCTGTGGACAGAAGGAAGAGTTCAGATCCTCCAGGCACCCAACAATTGCAGAGAAGCTGTACCTGAAGGGCTCTGCAAAGATGCTGATCCTTGGGGTCCCTCATTCAACCGTAGTGGCACCCTGGGACTTCCAGGTCACACATGAAGCAGAGAGAAAAGCATCATGCATTCACCATGAGATTGTCCAGGGCTGCTTACTCAGTCTTACTGTTTCAGGGACTGAGGCTGTTTTTTTTTTTTTTTTTTTTTTTCGCTATAGGGCGTGTACGCTCGCCAGACAGAGAGAGACATAGAGACAAAAAGCGAGAAATCACCCCCCAGGGGGATGGTCACGCCACAATCCCTTCTCCTCCATTCTCCTCTCGGGATCTTGGGCACGTACGCATACGCGCCTGGTGTGAGTTCCAAGCCACCGGGTCCAGGGCGCGAACCATGGTCAACTATGTGGGAATCCAGCAACATAGCCATTACGCTAACTGCTGGTTCCCAGGGACAGAGGCTGTCCGGCCTCAGTTCTCAGAGATCAGTTCGGCCCCACCTTTTGGAGTCCGGAGTTTTTAACAAAGCACAGGAAGCTCTTCATGTCCAGGTCCTGCTTATTGCCCTCCTCGCCTTGAGATGACCCCTCTGTCATATCCTATGCTGGGGCCAGCACTGCCTCACTTGCAGCCACAGGAATGGACAATACTCGCCCTTTGCTCTGGGCCTGAGCATATGCTATTACTTTATCCAGAACATTCTCTCCCTCCTCTTCTCCAGGCAAACTCCTGCTCATCCAGGTATCCACTTGTGTGAATCCCTCCAGGAAGCCACCCCTGTCCTGACTTGGTTACCACACTGTTATGAAGGTGCTATGTTGGGATGCCTCTCTCCTTGTCAGCCTTTCCTATTTTTTTTTTTTTCAGAGAGATTTTTGATATAGGGCACTTGTGCTCACTGGAGAGACAGAGAGAGATAAAGTGACAGAAAGCGAGAAATCAACCCCCAGAGGGGATGGCCACGCCACAATCCCTTCTCCATTCTCCTCTCCAGATTGTAGGCATACACACACACGCATCCAGTGTGAGGTTTAAGCCACTGGGTCCAGAACTCTAACTACAGTGTGAGAGTAGCTACATAGCCATTACACCAACTGCTGATCCCATCAGCTGGTCCCTTCAACCTTTCCTAATAATAGCAACTCATTCACACATGGAGGTTATTATGTGCCAGACACAATTCTAAGCACTTCAGTTCATATCTGTGAAGCACCTTTATAAACCCATTTCACAGATGAAAAAATGAAGGGATTAAAAGGTTTCATAACTCCTCAAGGTTACACAATTGTAAGTGGTAGAGTCAGGATTTGAACCCAGGTAGTCTGGCTTGAGAGTTCAAGCTCCTTGAGGAAAGAGGCTCTGTCATACTCTTCTCAGCACTAGCCAACCCTGGGGATGCGCTGGTCTTTCTCTTCTGCTTTCTCAGAGGAAATAAGACTTCTCCTTCTCACTCCAAGCTTGCGTACCCCAAGGTTGGTCATGAGGGGAGGATCTTACTGGGGAAGGCTTATGGACCTGGAAGCCCTAACTTTTCCCAGCTAAGATGATGCTCCCCAAACCTGGACCATTTGCATGGACCTCCATCAATATAGACCATTACTTAATTTAAAATGGATTTCATTTGTTTTATTAGAATACATCTATCTAGAAAGGAAACATTATGTTACTATCATAAAGGAAAAGAATCAGTACCATGATATAAAAAGCAAATTCAATGCAAAGAAAATGGTATAGTTTCTAGTTGAATACTGGGCTTTCTGTTGTCGTGAATAACAAGTTTAAGAATTAAATTTATTTTATTTCTTTTGTGTCATGCTGCCATTCAGCAACTCTCCACCTCCCCAGTCTTTCAGCCAGCAAGGACCACGGGGGCATGCACTTGGCGTATTTCAGGTCAACCCAGGATCCAAACCGCAGTCTTCCACGTGGTCTAGTTTTGCAGAGTGGTATATACACTACCACCTGCACCACCATGGTTAGGCCCACATAGAGCCTATCTTGAAATAATTAGGATCAAATTTAAAATAATCACCTTCTATTCAATGTTACTTAGTGCACTGGCCCTGTCCCACTCAAAATCACCTCATGCCCAGTGGTACACACTCTGAGAGACTCTTGCCTACACTACCTGGGATGGTTAATTCCAAGTGCCAACTTGGCTAGGCTGCCATGCTTGGTTGGTCAAATGTTAACCTGGTGCTGCTCTGAAGTGCTGTTTAGATGGTAGACAGCTTAACAGCAGGCTGAGTAACCAGACTCACTTCCGTAATGAAGGTGGGCCTCATCCAACCCAAAGCCTTAGAAGACTGAGGTTCCCAAAGAGGAAGGACAACCGGCTCTGCACTGGAGCACCTGCGCGACTCCCCAGCCTCACTCACTTTGGATTTACCAGCTCCACAATCGTGTGAGCTAATTCCTTAAAATAAATTTCTTTCTCATGCTCTTTCTTCACACACACACACACACACACACACCCTACTGGTTCTGTTTTCCCAGGGAACCTTGACTAACACAATATCTGACATTCTTAGTCCCTGGAGGGTAGATTGTGCCTCCCATTCCTCTTCTCTCATGGTCCAGCTGAAACCAGGCCTTCGGATCCCACCCATCCTCCACCATCCCGCTGTCATTGTACAACATGACACTTTCACCTGAAATCCAGACCTAGGTAAGTGAGGCAAAATGCGAGGCAGAGGTTCTTCCTCTGGGATCTTAAGACTCACTTATGCTCCTGTTTTGTATCTGAAGGATGGGTACTGACCACCAAGAAGAGTGTCCACCTCTGCAGGGGAAAGTCAACTATGGAAATGAAGTGCACAGAGCTCTTTTTCACGAAGGTGAGCGTAGTCTTAACGTATTTCTCAAGGGGCCAGCAGGTGGTGTGGTGGTGAAGGCACTGGACTCTCACACAGCGGACTTCGGTTCAAGTCTGAGACCTGGTGGTTTGCTTTCTCACTTTCCCTCTTTTCCTCTCTATCTCTTTCTGGTGAGTGCACATGTTCTATAATAATAATAATGATAAATAAAATTAAATAAGTAATTCATTAAAAAATTTTCTCAAGACAAAATTCCAAGCAGCCATTATTTATATGTCTTAGAAAAAGGAAACTTGTGTGTTATCTGAGCCCAAGGCCTCAACAGGTCAACCTGACTAGTACATAATCCACTGAGCTCAGCACCTGGGCTGGTGGCAAATGCAGGGGGTTGATCTAAGGGCAGCAGGGGTGTGACATTTAATTTTAGGTGTCCACTGGATTAAGGGACACATAGATAGCTGATAACACATCATTTTTGGCTATGCCTGTGAGGATGTTTCCAGAAAATAGTAGCATTTGCATCCAAGGGCTGAGTCAGGGAATCTGCCCTCACCCAGTGAGGGTGGGCACCCTCCAATAGGCCTGGATCGAACAGACCAGGCAGAGGAAAGGTGAATTCTGTCTCTCTAGAGCTGTGATTCCCTTCTTCTCCTGCCCTCTCACCTTTTGTCATGAAAGAGTGCCATTTTGGAAGCAGAAAGAATGGCCCACAAGACACAGAAACTGCCAGCACCTTAATCTTGGGCTTCCTGGCCTCCAGAACATGAGGAAGTAAGTTCCTGATCCTCATAAATTACCCAGTCTCAGGAACTCCCTTGCAGCTGCACAAATGTACTAATACAAGGATTGCTTCCCTCCACCTGTCTGCATTTTAATATGCCTAGTCCAGAATCTGTCCCTGCTCTCTCCATTTCTCACAGCTGGAAAATATATCTAAGAAAAAAAAATAGGGGAGGAAGTTGCAGAACATTGTATTTTATCACTGTCTGGCCCCAATGAGTAGGTCTTGACAGCACATCCATCTTACCAATGAAGAAAGCAAGCCAGAGTGTGGGCTGACACACAGTCACTGAGAGAAAGGGGTAGGCTGTGGGCCGCTGCCCTATGGCTCTGGAAGGCCTGTCCTTCACCACCACACATCCCTGCCCCGTGAGGATAAAGGTGGGGTCACTGGCAGCGACACTGCACAGTGAGTCCTCAGATGACAGCAGTCTGTAGGTACAGAGCTCTGCAGAGTAGCTCAGCACACCTTGCCCCGGTGTTTGCTGGGAACAGTGTTCTCAGTGGGCACAGGGTGGGAATTTCTGCACAAACCGTGGGGGGCAGGCAATGGCCAGAAGCTTAGAGCCTGTCCAGGACAGCCTTGGGGAGAACATCAGCTTCCTCAAGGGTGGCTGTGGCCATGAGTTCATGCAGGCTCATGAGAGGCCAAGGCTGAGGACATCCCCACGCTGAGCCACGGCAGGGCAGGGAAAGTGGAATCTACACGATACATATGATCTGGGAACTCTCAAGAACTGCTGGGTATCTTTTCTCTCTCTTTCTCTCTCTGTCCCTCTCTGGTCAAATTAAAATAAATTAATACAGTCAAATAAAATAATTCTTTTTAAAAAAGAGAAATCATCTTTAAAAACTGCTGAGTGCATTGGCCAAGGTGCTGGATTTCCTGTGAATTTGTGCCCAGCAGGTGAAGTCTAAAAAACTCTGAGGTTGGCGAGATCTGAGGAAGACTTGTCCTCTCTTGCCCCTGGGCAGGGGCAGCTTGAAGGACATGGATTCCTCAATATCTGACCTTTCTCAACTATGGCCTCTGGAAGAAGAGGGACAAAGAAACTGCTTAATGCTTGGCCAAAGAATCAAAAAATTCCTAGAGCTTGGAGTGGTCTCTGGGCTGTCTTAGCCTGTCCTCTGCAGAGATCTCATTGTAGCATCCAGCAAGGGGTAGCCATTTTTGTCACTATTACTATTATTACGTTGGCCATGGGACATGTGTGCTCGCTGGAAAGAGACAGAGAGACAGGGAAAGTGAGAAATCACCCCCAGGGGCATGGCTATGACACTATACCTTCTTCTCCACTTTGCTCTTGGGATTTGGGGCATGCATGCATGCAGACCTGGTGTGATCTTCAAGCTGCGGTTCCAGGACT